CGGAGAAGTTCTGAAATACATGCACTGGCCTCTCAAACTTACACTAAGGGCAAGACATACAGAATGGTTTAAAAGCCAAAAACCTGGACTACATTCCACAAAGAATTCAAAACTCAGCTTTTTTCCCCCTTTCCTGTTACTAGTTCTTCCTGAAGTTGGGCAGTTGACTTTTTTCCATGTTAAAGTTTTATTCATTTTAACCTTAGGCCAACATTTTCAAACTGGAAAGTATAGCATTAGGTATCTTAATCCATTTTTATACTTCAATAAGGACAGCACCTTTAGGGTACCTTACAAAGTTTCCACTCTTAGGTGATTTAGGAATACAAGTTCCATTGAAGATTTAGGCTCCTAATTCTGTTTTGCTCTTCTAGAAGCATCTCCCCTAGCTTTGAGGGCCTGTACATCTTAATAGAACTAGGACTAAGTATTTCCAAAAATATTTTCATAATGGTGCTTGCCTAGACAAAGGTTCTGTAGTTTCTGGTAGTTAGTGGCATGCGGGAGGGGGAAGAGAGATGGACCTTAAATTAAACTGGAAAACAAAGCAAGGCTGAAAGAGTCTGGAACAGAGAGACAGGAACACAATCAGTTGAAGAGATAGTAAAGAAGATAACAAAGAGGGCTTTAGTGAAAAGGCTGCCACCACAAGGGAGAGAATGCAGTCTTAACTGTAAGAGCGCCCAGGCGTCCGTGCAACTTTACTCACCATTTTCTTTGGTCTCTGGAGCTAGCTTCTCCCTGGATTTCCCCCCCCCCACACATGGGTCTAGTGATGGATGAAGATGACAAATACCACTTAGGTAGTTAAGGGGTCTCCTTTGCACCATCTCCTTCCTCCAAAAAGTCTTCCAAAGAGAGGTCTTTAAAACAGCTGCCTCACAAGAACAGAGGAGAACCATTAGTGTTAAACTAGCTTTACATAATCTTTTTTTCCCCCGCTTAACTCTAAACGATAGGTTTCTGGAACTGTTCTGGCTCCACAACATATCTTTAAACAAGATCCACCCTAAGAATCTGTGGCAACTGTCACCACCCTTGGGTTCAGTAAAGATTGCAAATGACTTTAATTTCTAACAATAGAAACAAAAGGTTAGTGATGTATAAGGAACAAAATGTTTCCCCCATTAACTAGATCAGATCTGCGATCTTCAGCTAAAGAAAATAAGTCAAAGTAGATTGGTCTGCAGTAAGAAGCTAGCACTCTCCCAGACAAAACAAGACAGAATTGTTTTTATTCTAGTAGCAGCTCCCTTGCCCCCCATTTTGGAAAATCTTGCAAAGCTATGAAGGGCCTGTTGGAGAAGTTCTCACCCCCACAAATTTGGCAAGGAGGACCCTACTTTATTTATTCCGTCTTAAAAAGGCAGCTTTGCATGACAAAACATACCCCGTATAAGAACACTTACTTATGGGCAGATTCTTCTTCAAAAAGACTAGATAGTGAATTTTTACAGTTACTTGGTTTTAGGTTCTACCTAAGCTATTTTTATAACACTGATTTTAAGCGATTAGAGGAATCACTGAGCAAAGTCCCTGACTTCAACAATTTTCCTGAGCCAGAAGTGCAGAAAGGACAAGGTGACTTTTTTCACATTCCAGAAAAAAGAAAAAAAACCAAAAGGGTTCAGTAAAAAATCAGGCAGCTTATTTAAATAGAAATTCTAGACAACAGGAAATGCAACAGAAGTTTAGAGGTCTAGAAAACATGAGACTTACAAGGAAAGGTTGGGGAAAGTAGAATCATTTAACCTGGAGAAGAAATGGGTGTAGTGGTAGGTCAGAAGGAAAGGAAGTAATTTGATGTCAATCTTCAAAGTTCCTGAAGGGTGGATATGGAGAGCATGGGGGAAAACCTAATTGTTCTGTTTCTTTCAACATAAATGCAGGAAAAGAAAGACACTTTAATCTCAACAAAAAACTTCAGATTGGATATTATATAGAGCTATACAATTATGCAGGGGTAGGGAAGCACTGAAACAGACTACCTGAGGTTGTGGAAACCACACCAAAATTAGAAGGTATAAGAACAAGCAAGAGAAGAGACACAGCTAGGATGTTTTGTACTGGAGTGATCATGCCTTGACCAGCATATTGGGATTAAATGAACGCCTGTAATGCTATACAAAAAAACCCAAACAAACATTTTATGATAGATGAGTGCGCCATCTGCTAAAAACAAATCTCAGACAGTAAAGATTGCTTTACTTTATATAAAAAAAAAGTTAGAAATTCCAAGCCCTGCCAATTTAGTATCAGAATACTCTTTGGTTTAATTCAGCCAGTTGGAAAAAATTAAAAAAAAACAAAAACAAACAAAAAAAAACCCCATGTAGAACTTTTACAAGCCACACAAAAAAGCAAATAACTTGTACTTACTGCATGTCATATTTAATACAATATCAAACATCCAGAAGAAGCAAGTACAGCAACATCTAGCCCAGATCACCAGATATAGGCCTACTATGAAAAAAAAAAAAAAATACTTTATAAGCACCAATTTATAATCCATGGAAGAGGACAGACAAGGCTGGAAGAGGATTACAGAACTGAGGAGGAAGAACTACGTCTGTAAGTATAATCTCACTAGAAAAATGTGCTGCTTTGAACTTGAGGAGCAACTCCAGGGCTAGGTACAAATATTCAAAGAGCCCAAGCCTGAATTGATTCATTCTGTGCAGGTTAATCTAACCTATGTAGACTGAACCAATTTGCAAGTGAATAACATTCACTTTAGATTCAAGAAATGCAGCCACATGCCTGCAGTGGCTCAGGCTAGAAGCCAGGGAGCATTAGAGCAAGTCCTCAGCTGGAAGAAAACTGAGCTGGCAGCCCCACCCCTGGAGTACAATTGGGGAGGGGTTTAAGCCCCCACCCTGGCCTGCATGGCCCCAGCTGGAGTGTTCCTAGAAAGAAAGGAGGGAAGCAACCCCTGCCAGGAGCCCCTAGCCCTTCACATCCCCACTCACTTGCTCGCTGCTCCAGCAGCAGGAGCAGGAACATGGCCAGACCCCAGTAGGCTGAGGGAAAGTGGGGTTTAATCCTCCCATTGCAAGTGGGGGTGGTGTAGGCACCAATAGGCTCCACCTATGTACCCAGGGCCACAGCAGCCATACGTCAGTAACTTGAGGGAAAGTGGGGAGTGGCGCAGGTACGAACATGGCACTGGCTCTTTTCCACACTGAAGATCCCTTCAGGCAGGGGCTGTGTTGAATCCCTTGGAGTGGCAAGCAGTGCCCGATGCCAATGCTGGTCCAGCTGCAGGCAGGGAAGACCAGGGCTAATCACAGAGCCTGTCTCACCATTGCCTCCCACTGCAGCAGTGCAGCCTGGGCTGTGGCAGACTTAGGGGGTAGAGGACAGTGTCTGCCACCTCCAGCCTCACACAGAGGCCACAACTTGCAGGTGGACTGCAGCCGGAGCATAGTTCTCCACCTATCTACCTCTCCCAGCAGCAGTGTGAACCATGATGGCAGGTGGAAGTGGGGCACCCATCACTGATTGCAGCAGAACCAGGCAGTCAGGGCAGGATGCTGCAGGCCAGGGGCATGGGGAGGCAACAAATTGCTACAGCTGAGTCCAGCTTTGCCCTGCAGCCCAAGGATGTGGGCAGAAACTGGCTCATAGCAGCCTACCCAGGCACCTCACCTCTGCCTGCAGCAATAGTTTGCTCTGCTGCCATTGCCAGGCGAGGGAGTGGGGTGGCAAGCTGTGCTCCAGCTGCAGTCTACCTACAAACCAGCCATGCACGGAGACCTTGGAAGTAGAAAGCAGCAGGTGCTGACCGCCACCCTATTTGGCTGCCCCTGCCCAGGCCATGCTGCCACAGCAGGCAGCAATAGCAAGTCAGGGCTGGGATAAACCCTGGCTCCTCCCCACCTCCCTTCCACACCTGCTGCCAGGTCACGTTTCCATCCCCTCCTCCAGCCCTGGCCAGACCTGCCTTGGCATCAGCCATAGCATGCCACTTCAAGGACTCAGCCCAGGCACTGCAGCGCAGGCCCCAAGGGGTGTTCAGCATTGGACAGCCAGTGCCATGTTAGTGCCTGCGCTGGGGAGGGAGGGATTAAACTGCCCCCCGCTTTCTCTCAGGCTACTGAGATCTGGCTGCCATGGCCCCAGGTGCATGAGCAGTGCTTATTAATGCCCATGCTGCACCCCCTGGCAATGGGGGCATTAGCCCCCACCTTCCCTCAGGCTATTGGGGGCTGGCCATACTCCCTCCCCCAGCAGCAGAAGTATTGGAGCTGGGGACACCTGGCAAGTGTTGCTGCCTCCCCAGCCAGGCAGACCTGGCTGTACTCTAGCCCAGGATTTTATACCCTCACTCCCCTTCTCAGCCAGGGAGAGAGGTGGGGCCAGCCCTGCTTGGCTAGAACAGACAGCCCAGCCCATGGCTACAGCATGCTGGAGGACTCAGATTTAAAAGTGTAAACCAGGAAGGGGTCTGGAAAAAAGTTCCATAAGCCAGTTTGAGCTTAATCAGTTAAGTTTGATACTATATTCAACCAGGTTTACCTTAACCCACTTTGAGCCATTTTGAAACTGGTTTATGTGCACTAAACTTCTGTTCTGTTACAAGTTTAAGCCAGTTTCTGATCACTTAGAAGTTACACACAAACCAGTTTGTCTCAAGCCCAGAAGGTCACATGGAAACAAGAGGCACTGTGGAAGCTTAGGGCAGTGTCTTTGTACACCAACAATACCGTTCTGGCCTTCACTCAGATGCACTACTCCAATAGCCAGAAAACATTTGAGTGCAAGTCATTATGGCACCTGTGCTTTCGTTGTGCAATTTAAAATCATATAAAAAAAAAAAAAAAAAAGAGAGTCAGGAAAGCCAAAAGTTCTAATAATGGTGTTATCAGATGCCACACAATAAAAGAATCTCACAGAAACCCTGGTTTAGAAAGAATGCAATTAAAATGACTTGCTTCAAAATTACATAGTATTTTTGAAGCTGCATCTCATTCATTTAAAAAAATTAAAATGACAACAACTTCATTAAAATCTGGAATTTATTTCAAATTTGTTAGACAGTTATAGTTCTGCTTATAAATAGTGTTACATTACAGATATGGTACATATATACAGTTTACTTCAGGTTGTGAAGTCTGAACTGGATTTGTTTTTCCTGTTGATGTGTTTTCAGGAAAGTGATTCAATAGCTTTAAGCAGAATAAGGGTGAACACCCGGCACTTACGAACAAGCTAGTACATGGCCAATGAGAAACATTAAGAAAGTAGGCTTCATTTTCAAAATTTCATGGAGATATTAAAATATTTTTTCTATAAAAAGTCTTGACAATTTTTTAGATTGTGTTAATACAAAAACCAATGTAGTCAATTTACAACATTTTTGCTACCATTTAAAAAAATTGTAGAAAACAAGTGATCAATTTAAACTTCAACTCAACTTGTAAAAACAAGACAGTCAATTTGTTCTTACTCAAGAAACTGTGGTGAAAAAATAAAGTTTGTGCTAAACATTACCCAAAACATTGGCACATTAAAAAAGTATTCCTGCAGCTTTGAAGTAAACATTGACTGCTCTTCCATGTTAAAGATGCTCTCTCTCTCTGTACTTCAGTCTTTTCTTGAGGTGTACTATTTGCCTTTGTGGTTAATTACTGATGTTCCCCAGTTCAGCTCATGGTCATCTTTCATATATTCTGACAGCAATACTGCAACTTCTAACTAAAGTTTTTATGCTTTTTAAAAAGCTTTCCCAATACTCAAGTAAAACAACTTGCTTCTTTTCTGCAATTTTTAAAAAAGGTATGCTATCAAGATATCAAGTCTCCCGAGCTTCAAATTAATCTCACAAAATATCCAGATATTTTAAAACCCAATTTCAAGTTGTTCAAGAAAGAACTATTGGGATCTTCCATATTTACATAATGCTGGACCTGTAACATGAAGTGTGCACCACAGCCATTTCTGCAATAGGGGTTAAAAAAGTTCCCAGGTAGTTGATTGAGGTTCTCACACATGTACACCAGATGCCATTTCCGCATTCTTTTCCAGCGATACAGAACTGCTTGATGGAGCCTTGTACAAGCAGAATGCAACAATCACAAAAAAAATTGTGAGGACTTTACAAGCTGCACCTGAATAAGGGGAGGAGGGAAGAGAAGGGGGGAGGGGACAAAAGGGATTTTTTTTTTTTTTTTAAAAAGATAAACAAAACTACTGGCCTGTGACAACAAGTGTAGCCAACACAAACGTACATAAGAGGCACAGAGCAAAGTGCTATAAAAAAAACACCCCACACACAAGCACACACCGCACACTTGTTCCAAAATTTGTCAGCTTGGATCATTACCTCAAAATCCATGACGCAGATCCACAGCCTAGCAAACAGTCTTTGTACTTGGATCAGACGTTTCACCCATCTCCCACTTGCTGCAGTTACTGTAATCCTCTAGTCTGATTTCTGTACTCTTCCCCCACAATCTAGTTTCTGGAAGATTGCTTCTCTTTCTCCTTGCTTTGATGCACTGCCTCATGTAGAACCTTTCTACCAACTTGCCAATATATTGCATTAATATAAAACTTGTTTAGAACTGCCTATGCAAAGAATCCTTACATAAAAAAGATGATCAGTCACCTAAACTATACTATTTTTCCCCACTTATCTCAATTATCTGCTCAGCATTTTTCCTATTCATGGCTTCTTCTCAAATTCCTCAATTACATAGAAAGAAAAGAGCTAGGCCTACATATTTTTGTGTACCTCATACAAAGCTTCTTGGGAGTGCTTGAAGAGTTTGTTTTGTTTCAATAAGCTTTAGTTCCTAAGAGTGGGGGGAGGGAAGCATACGATGATACACCTGCAACTACCACAGACTCACCTTTCCCCAAAGGAAAAAAAAATGAAAATAAACCAAATCAGAAAGGGGATTTAAAAGTCTGAATGGAATTCTGAACATATTTATGATAGGTACACAATACAGATGAGGTTACTTACTTATACCTATCAGCATATATGCCATTTTTGTATTGTCATAGACCCAGCAAGCCCCTCGAGTTTTACATTCATTGAGGTCCCACAGAGTACAACTGTTGTCTATAGCCACACCAAAGAAAATTGGCCCAGGAATAGTACCTAGAAGAGAGATGGAAAAAAATTGAGGAGTTAACATCTAGCTGGTATTCTATGAGTTCTGTTCAGTTTGGGGTTTAGAGCATCATCAGATTGAGCAGTACACCAACTTGGTGAAACTACACATTGGAGCCACCACAGCTCCCCTTCTTATGTTTGCAGAGTAACAAACATCCTTCTACTCCCAGCTCTGTAGGTTGTTCATTCTGACTTAAGTTAAAACTTTAAGTACCTTGCAGGTAAGGACAAAATTATAACAATTTGGGCAGGGGGAGGGGTGTGGGTGAAAGGATGATCATCAGTAGCCACCATGGATTTGTTGCAAATTGTGCCAAACAAACTTTATTTCCTTATCCAAGTATAAAAACCTTGGAAGGTAAGGGAATATAGTGGACACATGAGTATTTCAGCAAGTGGAAGTATATAAAAGAGACTATAGTTATAATCTGGAGAAGCATAGATCCATCTTTCAATGGATACTTAGTCCTTTGAATAACTGCAAGCAAGTAGAAACTATTAATGGATCAGATTTCATAGTTTTCATAGACATTTGGGCTGGAAGGGACCCTGGGAGAATGATCAAGTCTAGCCTCCTGCCCCAGTGGCAGGAATTCAGCAGGGGTCATAGGATCCCAGCAAGATAAACATCCAAAATCTCTTGAAGGTGTTCAGTATAGGTGCTTGAATCACCTCCGGTGGCAGGCTATTCCAGACCTTGGGGGCTCGGACTGTAAAGAAGTTCTTCCTTATGTCCAGCCCGAAACAGTCCTGAAGGAGTTTGTGACCATTTGACCTTGTCATCCCCTGGGGCACTCTGGTGAACAGATGTTCCCCCAGATCCTGGTGAGCACCCCTAATAAAAACACTTATAGGGAGTGTTAACATAAAAAGCTTGTGCTGGCCATGCACCCCACTGTGGGGCAGATAGGGGGCTTGTGGCCCATGCAGGACTCCCAAGGGAAAGGCAGCGAAGTGCAGTGCCTTGAGCACAGGTGACACTGGAGGCTATAGCCAACCCAAAATTTGCTTGAGCCCCCCTGTGGCCGCCCTTCCCAGTGTTACCACTGCTGCCCACCTGCCTCATGTAGCTGAGCCTGCCCCGAGCCCAGCTCTGGCCCAGGCCCCGCACTGGGAAGAGGCTGGCACTGCCCCTGGCCCAGAACCCTCAGACGACAGCCTGCCTTTTTACTTAAGATGATCTCTTTCATACTTCACTATAAAAGAGATCCTAGCCTTTATGTAGAACAGACAGCATACTATATCACTTTTGCCAGGGTAGGTTTAATGTTCTTGACTAAACATTTACTTTCTTCTCCACTGCAGTGTGGCGTACCCATGTATATGCAGCATCCCTAAAGCTTACTACATCATACAGCTACTCTATATTGCTTCAATGCTAGAATTCAGAGGTACTGTTCAAAAAGAAAAACCACTATCTACTCAAGTTTGATAGTAAAAACCCCCAAGAAACCTGACAACTTTGCCTTCTCCCTACATTCCGAGAAGAAAATTTGATGAAAGACCTTGGCTTAAAAAGCAAGCGACAACAGCCTAAAAAGAAAGTAAGTTGTGTATAGGTTGTTTGTTGCTCATGGGAGAAGAAAGCAGCATAAATATCATCTGATACAGGGTCCCAGTAACAGTAACCTACTGGAACACAGGCCCTTGGCACAATGCTTATGTAACAACATTGTATGGCCCAAGCTGCTCTGAGACATTGCTATGCTGCTAGACGTCTCACTAGCACTTGTGTTAGCAGGATCCTCAAGCCATCCTTAGGCAACTCCTTTTTGGTTATGGGATTGTGTTGTGCCCCCTACATGTAACACTATTTCACTGCTTCTACATCTACATCATATGCACACTTATGTAATGTAAAAACTAAAAAAAAGGTAGTGAAATTATTATTGTATTAAATTATATGAAATATGCTAAAAAATGTATAATAGCTGCCTGCCAGAATTCTGGTGTTATGATGTAGAACACCAGAAACAAGACAAAGCAGTTGATCAGATTTCATGCTTTTAGCTTCTAAAGCTTATTTTCAGTTTAGACGAAAGCTCAGTCAGCTATGCCATTAATGGTTATAGATCAATCTCTTGATTAGTGGACATGTAGAATCCCTCACTTCCAAGAATGGGCTTGACTTTGGAGAAAGGGGTCTCAGTTGTTAAGTAAATGGCAATAAAATTTGGACATAAAAAACAAAAAACCCTAGAACTCTTGGTTCCAAAATGATACCTTTCTATTATACCAACTGGGAAATCGCAAGCAGAAAAGGACAATTTTCTTGAGATTTTTTCCCCCCCCACCTCAGTTTGTCCAATAAATTTGTATTTGTTCTTTTGCCACTTTAAACATCCACCAATTAACCATTAAACAAGTTTCTATAGATTAAAGTTCTACATAAAAACAAATCTATTACAAGGTTTAGCTTTGTTTTGCCTAGTCTTTCAGCCAAACTTAGGGTATGAACATACATTTTTGCCATTTAAAAAAAAGCTGCTGCTCTGGAGTGTGTGCAGCAATTCTTACACTAACAATTATGCCTGCATGATACAGGGTTAAGTTGGAGCCCGCTGGCCGTACTTATTACTACAGAAATTACATACATGTAAAGTTACAGAATCCTAAGTTAGATACATTATGCTTAGGTATGTATTTAAACAAAGTGTTATACCCAGTAATCGTAGAAACAGTGACTGCACACCCAGAGCAAATGAACGCTGCTTGTCTGGCACACACCTGTAAAATAAGTTAAAAGGACCTTCAACAATGGAGCATTCTACAAGCCAGATATAGTTTAACATTTAAGTTACCTTAAATGTATATTTCCTAACAAAAATCAAGTTATCTACTAATACTTTGCTTTGTAGGATTAAGAGTACAAAACTCTTGAAGACAATAGTGCTTTCCTTCTTATCAGCTACATTGGATTGGAGAGAATATTTAGAAGCTTACAACAAAACTTCTCAAAAGTCTTAAGTAGACTTACATGACAGTCCTGAGAACAAAAGATCCAGTGCAATGAAGTATAGCAATGCAATATAGCATGCAAGTAAGACAATAGATTAACAAATGCTTGCTTCTCTCAGTTTAACACTACCCTTTTTTGAAAAGCATACTAAGTTTTAACCAAAATTTTAAATATGTTTTTTAAGTTTGGCCACAGTGCTTGAAGTATTATAAGGATGCAATTAAATGTACTCCAAAATGTTGACTTACTCATAAATAACTAATATGAAGTTGAATTACAATGAGTGGGAAAAACAAGAGACATAGGTCTATATAAGGGTTTTGTGGTTTAGTTTCATCTTGAGTGGTTCTTTAACCAAGGCAAATAAATAAAAAATTGTTAACGAACAGCTGATCCAATAGAGCAATTCCCAGAGTAATTTATCCGCAGCTCTCAAACTACTTTGATTTAGGTGTTCAACATGGTCTCCAAAGAGTACAGGTTTCTGTGATCATTCATGAATGCAAGTTCAGGTCTTTAAGTAAAATTCCAAATTTAAACATGAACTAGATGTAAAGCCTTGGTCCCAGTATTCAAACTGAGATTGGAAACTGACTGAATGCAAGTTGAATCATTTTAGCACAGGCCTAATGTGCTTGAACACCGGAAATAGCAGTCACATTGTTGAGGCAGTTGGAGTCACAATGGTCTTCAAACTTCAGCTACAAGAAATTACAGTAACAGATCAAACTGACAGATTAATAAATGACTGTGGCAAGGTTTCTCAAGAAAGGCCCAAAGATCACTAGGGAGACAGGCAGCAATTCAGACAACCATCATTCAAACTAGGAGGGAATTAAACACATGTTTGGGTACCATTCACAACTTTGGTAAAAAAAATAATTTTAAAAAAAGTTCCCTCTTAAAGAGGCACAAAAAATGATTAGCTTTTTAGAGCATCTTTTGCCAATTAGTACATCTCATCTTGCGTTGCTACAAAACAGAAGTGCTCTTTGAGAGCCAACTTCATCAAGACATTCCAAAATTCCTAGCAATGACAGTTTTTATATTACTAGATAAAAATCAGATAGTTCAGCATCATTGGCACAAGTGGAAAGTAGGATGATCACATCTACACTCTGCTGCTGGAAAGCTGTTGGAGAGATCCAAGCAGAAGGGGCAGGAAGGAACCACCATATGGTTTCTTGGGGGGGATTCCATAAGAGCATGCATGCACGCACAACTGCCAAAGATCCAGTTAGCATGCATGTACATGCTAAAAGTGATCCTGGGTATGACCATAAAAGGCATTCAACTAGAGGGCTTGGTGGCAACATGGGGCAGCTCCTATAAAAACCACCAGTGTTGCAACCTCCAGAGTAGAGGCAAAAAATGATAAAAGTGACATGCTGAAATGCTTGGACTGACCCATGGGTCCAATTTGGACTCCAATTTATGGAAAGTTGCACTACTAGACTATGCATTGGTTATACTAGGGGATTGATACTGCTGCAGTATCAGAAACTCAGCTCATGAATGACTGCTTGCAAGTGGCAGTGGCAAGCAGGGAGCTCCCGCAGGCATAAGCAGTTGAGTGGCAGGGTCAGCAGTGGCGGGGTGGTGAGCACTGACTGAAAATGCTTTTCAGGGGGTGCACATGCACCCCCTACATGTCACCAATGTCTCAGATACAGGTTTTGAGAGAATGATGATACCATCTTCTGGCATGGGAAGTCAGCAGGAGAAAGGAGAGAACAGGAACCAGGCTTTATTATTAGAAGCAGCTTCCTCTCTTTCTGTGAAAGCGCCACTGCTGTATCTATTTGACTCATGATGCCCAAAGTGCACACAGAATGGCTTCATCATGTTTAGTGTCTATGCATCTACCCTTCAAGCTATCAAAGCCAAGGCTGTTTTCTACCAACAACTTGAAGAGACTGAGATAACTCACAGAAGTTAGGCCATTATAATACTACTTGCCAGCTTCAATGCAAGAGTTGGATACGATTTTAAGAATTAGACTTGTACATAGGCAAACATGGAATTGGTAATACGAATCAAGATGGCCAGCAAGTGTTAGAACTTTGTGCAAGTCAAAATCTATGCATTACCAACACCTTTGCTGGGGAAGGGAGGAGTCATAAGGACAGACATTGTGGAAGCATGTAAAGTCAGGGCACTGAACCCAATTACATTTAGTATTGACCAGGCATAACAACCTGAAAGAAATCCTGCATACAAGGTCTTGTCACAGTCAGTACTGCAATACTGACCATGCATTAGTCTCCAGCAAAGTCAGAACCAAAATGACAAAGATGCATCATAGGAAGACTATCAGCTATCCTCAGATTAGACACCAGCCAAATTAAAAAGAAACATTTTATTGGATAGTCTGAATTTTTCTAGGTAAACTTGCTTTCACAGCTCAGCCACCCAGGCTTAGGAAATCATAAAAGCCAACATAATGCCGCTGTAACAGCATTTGGCAAGATATGCAACAAAAATGTAGACTGATTTGAGGAACACTCTGAAACCCTTCTACCACTGGTTGAGAACAAAAAAGATAGTACTAACCAACCATAAGAAATATCCCAACACCATAACCCTGGAAAATCTGAGAAAAGGTTCAGAAAGAAGTAGAAAAGGAGGCTAAGAGGTATGCCCAAGATTTCTGGCTTAAATTGATGCTATTCAGAAAGCAGCTAATGCAGGCAATGGCCATGAATTTATGAAGGCATCAAGCAAGCAACTGATCCAGCCAAAAAATAAAATGGCTCCACTGAAAGGATTAAAGTTGGAAAGGTTATTACTGATGAACAAAAGAGTCAAGTATTGGATTGACCACTACAGAATTCCATGCTCAGTGGGCTCATCTAAAAAGGCACCGACTTCACAGTAGCATCGCATGACAGGAAACATGATGCAACACCAAGCAGTAGTAATGAGCTACTGTGCAGTCAGTGTCACTTAAGAGCTGTTTGACAATGCTACTGCACAGTAACTCCAGTTACTGCACAAGTCATTTAGTACTCTATTTATGGAAGTACTAAATTACTTCACAGTAACAACTGCACAGTCAGCATCTAGTTTGATTTTAGTCTCACTGACCACGTCTACACATGAGCTCAAAGGATTGCCACAGTTCAACATTAGGATGAATTTGGAAAATGAGCCTATATTAGAAGATTTGCTGAAAGCCATTAAATCCATTCCTGGAAACAGGGCATCCAGCAATGACCGTTTTCTGGAAGTCTACAGATGTGCCAACAAATTACTGAAAGTTTCATAATGTTATACTGCTCTGATGGAAAGAAGAAGCAGTACCCCAAGATTTCAGAAGATGCTTAACTTGTACAGTTATACAAAAACAAAAAGGGATAGAAGCAATTGAAAGCTATGGAGGTACCTCCCTGTTGAACAGTCAGGAAAGTTATCACTCGCATCATGATCCCTAAGCTGCAATCTTTAAGTGAAAGAATCTATCCTGAAAGTTGAACTTTTTGCTCCGGATGCTGCGCCATGGATATAATATTTTTGGTCAAGCAAGAGCAAGAGAAGGAGTAGAGAAGAAAAAAAGATACCACTGTACATAGCCTTCACTGAGCTGATGAAGGTCTTCAATACAGTCAAAAGAAGACAGGCCTTTTTACTATTCTGAAGCAGCTTGCGTCATCTCTCCAAACTGTTGGGCATCAATTGCTCATTACAAAAAGGTATGAAGGCAGTGGTTGTGCATGAACCAAGAATAAAACGTCTTTGACATCAGGGTGAAACAGGGACATGCGTCTTAGCCCCCATGCTCTTTAACATCTACCTTTTTAGTCCTACTTCTTCATGCTTTCACTGACAGCAATGATAGCATTTATCTTCAAACCAGACTACACAGAGGCTTGTTCAACATCACAAGGTTTATTGCATCACAGGGTTGTCTACAGTGCATATTCCTTGCAAAAGTCTCTTGGGCAGATCTAGCAATGCTAATTGCCATCCCAAAGCTTCTCGTCTCAAGAAGACTGTAATATGTACAATGGCATGGAAGAACCAATACCCGACACCACTCTGGAGGTGGAAGTCTCATGGTGTGGTTGACCATTTTTGCTACTTGGG